CAGAGAGTGTAACTATGGCAAAAAGTTAATAAATGAATATCTAGATAAACCCCCATTCTGAATTCTATGGCCCATAAAAGGTTTCCTCATCCCCTAATATAGATTATGATACTGAATACAATCTTATGTGACTGGTAATTCACATGGCTTAGAAAAATTACACTGGACAAATGTATATATTCATATAAAAGAGATCACCTATGGTTCTTCAAATCTTAAGAAAGCTGCTCACCTCATCAGCTGGGAATGCATGGACTTTGAATCAGATGGACTTGGTTTGCTGGGTTTGCACGTGAACTTGGACAAGATCCTTAACCTACCTAAGCTTTGTTCTCTTTTAATTAAAACAAATTGTTTTAATTAAAACAATTAAAAAATGAAAAATCTAAAATAGTAAAGCCCAGTGCCTAGCACAGAGCATGTGCTTATTTCATGGCAGCAATTGTTATTTACACCCCATTACAACACTGGGTCTGGTTTTCAAATAGGAATACACAACACTGCTTTGACTTAGACAATCTTTCCTAAAAAAACCAAACTGACCAACAAAAACACACACACACAGACTCTCTGAATCTTGATTTCAGCAAAGCATGTGAACAAGCCTCCCATAATAATGTGAGATAACTTGGTAACTTAAAATGGAGAAATGCTTGACAAACACTGTACCACCTAATGTCCAAACTTAACATTCTGTATTGTTAAAAAACACAACATTAAAACAAATCAATGGAAGAACTTTTTAAGTAGTATATGAATTGGTTCCTGTTTTGATTTAGGAAATCAAAATCTAGTTAGGGAAGATAGTTGGCAAGATATAGGATCTATAAAAGGTCAACAGCAGCAGAAAAAGGCAGGCTCTGCTAAAAAGAGCTGGTCCAACAGTTTCTTTTTTTGAACCCAGCACTACCTAGGCCTTCCTCCATGTTTTCCCACTAATGAAATCCGACGCCAAATCCTGCTTAGCTCTGCCTTCAAAACACATCCCTGTACCTCCCACTTCTCACCTCCTCCCCCGCCAGTTCCCTTCTCATCCACTCATTTCTTACCTGCATCGTTCCTGCAGACTCTGTACTAGTCTCTCTGCTTCTCCTTTGTCGCACTATACAAAATATTCTCCCCCCAGCAGCCAGAATAATTCATTTAAACATTCCAGTCATCATAATTGCACTCCTGTTCAAAACCCTCCAAAACTTCCCATTTCACTGGGAGTAAAGTCAGTCTTCAAAAGGGTCCTGAAACTTTATCCCTAGGATAGCCCTGACTACTTTTACAACTCTATCTTCTGCTACTTCCCATACAACTACCTCCTTCAAGTTCTTTAAATGCTTGCAACCAGTCTCAGGGCTTCTGTGGCCCTCCCCACTGCCTGGAATACTTATTACTCCCCCAGTCAATCACCTGGCCTGCCCCTTCACTTCCTTAAGGCTTTGCTCAACTGTCACCCCTTTAAAGAGACAATCCCCTCACTACACAATATCTAATACTAAATATTAGAGAATGGTTGAATGAGATATCATACATCTGCCCTCCATACAGTACTATGTACTTGGAAAAAAGAATGAGGATGATTTCTATGAATTCATATGGAATGATTATCCAGACATATGGATAAAAGACAAAAAAAAGTCACAAAGACTACATAGTGTATGTTGCTATTGTTGTGTGATCTATTTATATCTGTAAAAAGAATCAAGAAAGATAAAACAGAAACTGGTAATATTTGTTATGGGTAAGGGGTAGAGTGGGAATAGGGTTTCTCCAGCATATCTTTTTAAATAGTTTTGATTAAACCATGTTAATATTTTACATACATAAAAAAGAAATCAAGGGGGAAAACCCTAACACTGAACAGAAACAAATTAATGCAGCTATATATCAAATTGATAACCACACAGAGAAAAAAAGAATTAATCTGTTACTATACAGAATCCTATACATATTCAGTGGGATAAATGGAAGAATAAAAAGAACTGCAAAGAAATCTTGAACTGTATTTAGTAAAGTCTGTGCTTGGTGGTGGTATTGGTATTGCAATTATGAAACTTTTTGTGTTTAATGTAGATTAGAAAAACATACTGATGTTACCAAGAATACAGTTCTTGCTGTGGAGAAGGGAGATATAAGTATGGAAAGATGGGAGGGAAGAAAGAACCACATTGTCAGGTTAGCCACAGCAGTAACAGGATAAGCTCATGACTCTGGGAAAACTCTATTTCCTAGCTCTGAAAACTGGCAGGGCTTAGAAGCCATCACTCCAGCAGCCTTGTGCACACCTAGATCCTGGTTTCTAAATACTATGGTCTACCAAAAGGAACAACGGAATCTAACCTGAAGCAGGAAAGGCACAAAATGAGTCCAGAACATCTTTCTGTGCCAGAAAGTAAGGAAATGCTCAAAAACCAATGGAAACATGGCAAGAGGACACTGAAGCTTGCAGGGGTTTCCGCTTGCCAAGTTTGGGATTACTAAGTACCAGAATGGATAATGACAGGAATGCCATCTTAAACAATATCCATGAGTCCATACTAATACCAAAACAATAACATTAAAAAGCTTTTCATTACTGACAGACGTCAGTAATATATAAAGAAAAATAGGGATAGAAAATATTTTAGTGATAATGGACTGGGGGAAGAATCATAAATGGATGCTAAATACTAGAGAAGAGGATATTCAATACAATCTTAAAATGTCATGTAATAAATCATGCATTCTTTACAAGCGGAAAATGGTGCTTCTACAATGGAGAAATCCGGTGATCTTACCTTAACCAAAAAATTAACATCTCCAATAATAGGACAAATGGATGACAAATCCTGACGAGATGCACTGAGTAGGAGACAGCACACTTACAAAAAACTCCTGCCCAGAAAAGTTTTAACCAGATCTAATCATGAGGAAATAGACAATTCAAATCAAGGGACATTTTATGAAACAACTGACCCAGAACCTTCAAAAACAGTGATATCATAAAGTACAAAAAAAAGTTGGCAACAATTTTAGATTAAAGCAGATTAAAGAGTTATGACTAGCAGTGTATGATCCGGGATTAGCTTCTGGACTCTATCAGAAAATAGTATTATATTAATGCTCTATTTCTAACTGTGATAATGGTTCTGTGGCTTATTGGAGACATATTGTTCTTAGAAGACATGTTAAAATATTTTAGGGCAAGGTGTTGTTATACGATCTGCAACTCTCAAAAGGTTTAACAAAAAGAAAAAAGAAAAAATGTAAGTGTGTGTGTGTGTGTGTGTGTACAGAGAAATAAACCAAATGTAATAAAATGTTAATAACTGGTGATTTGAGAAATGTGTAAGTGTTCACTATATTATTTTTACAAACTATTGTAAAGATTTTAAATTTTGCAAAGTTTTGAAATATTAAAAAATACCACTTTCACTCCCCTTTTCTCTGTGTCACTAAACTCTATTAGCAAATTTTACTTTACCACCATGTAACATCTATATATTTACTTGTTTATTTACTAATTGTCTATCTCCCTCACTATAATGTAAGCTTCATGAAGGCAGGGAAGTATGTTCCTGGTTGCATCCCCAGTCTCTTCTGCAATGCCTGACACACAGTTGACACTCACTAAGTATTTGTTGAATGACTGATATTCACAATCATTCTATGAAGTAGATACTATTATTATCCTTTCTCTTGTGTGCCTTTTCAAAAGCAAAGATACTGTGGCACACAGAAGTTAGCCAATTTATCAAAGTTATAACTCAGATGAGAGGCAGAGCCGGGGTCTGAAGCTGGGTATCTGACTCTAGAGCTACTGCTGCTAATCAGTGTTAGCTTAGCACTGAGGCAGGCTCAGCCACCAAAGGGCTCACCTTTTGCAGGGCTATGCCATCATTTAGTCTTGCCCTTAGTGCAAGGCCTATTCAAGAAGGTGCTATTCATACTTGCTGAAAAAAACGCGAATAAACACATGAATTAGGTGTGAGGGACCACATGAGGGGACTGTTCAGAGAATCTTGCAGGAAGACGTGAGCCTTGGTGGGTAAACTGGGGAGGGCTGGTGGGTAAATTGGGTTTTCAATGGGAAAGAGAGCACAGACAGAGGCAGTGTGGACCAAAGGGGCATTCTGGACCACAGAGAGGTCAGCTCATCTGGAGGAGAGTTACCCATCCATTCAATCTGTGTGTCTCTTCCCCTTTCTCACAGCCAGCTGCATATGAAATCCTCACAGTTGTTTGGGCCCAGTGATTGTCTCTACCCTGGCCTCCCTGCCTCTAATTCCTCTCAATTGCAATCCTTCCTCTTAACTGCTGCCAGATTATTCTTCCAAAGGGCATGGTTCTGATTCTGCCAGGCCCAGAAAGAGTTTGTCTTTGCCTGCAGAAGAGAATCCTAGCTGCCAAAGGGGACATTCAGGGCTCCACCATGAGGCTTCTAGCTCCTGTGACTCTCCAGGGACAATGAATCCCTCCACCGTCCAAGCTTACACTTTACACTCTGCCCCCTGTCTCTCTCACCTGGTCTCCTCATGGAATCTTCCACATCATGGCATGTCCACATACCACCTGTCCTCAGAGGCCAGGTTCAAATACCTCCCTTCCATGAAGTCTTTGCTTCACAAAAGATACCTGACTGCATAAAAGATAATGCTTTCTTCCCTCTGCAGCACCCCCATAGCACTTTATGTTTTAGCCTCTTTTACGTTTACTTTGGTGCCTCACAATATAGGTACTTTTGAGCATTATCTCAACCCTCCCCTCCTAAGCTGTAGTCCATTGACATACTCCATAAACGAGGTCCGTATGATAAATACATAAAAAATATAATAAATGTAGTCCATAGGCACTCAATAAATGCTGAATGCAGAATGGAGACAGCAGACTTACCTGGCAGTATGGCAAAGAGGCCGCAATGGGGAAACCTCAAGGAGAAGAGAACTAGTTAAGAGATTATTACTATGTCCCGGGGGCCTGGCTATGACTTAACTAGGGGCTTGGGTGTGGTGGGGTTTATGAGAGCGAGGAGCTAAAAATGGAGACAAAATTACCTATTTTATGGTGCTGATGTGACGATTTAGCTTTAGCGTAAACGGGATGAACGCCAACTCTAGACACTCATACGTTAGGTTAGATGCTTCATGTTTTTAGGGGCGGGTAGAGGAGCACCAGCTACACTACTTAGGGATCCGCAAGGCCATGGCCCACTCAGACACTTCTCTCCGCCCCGCTCCCCTTCCAGCTGTGGGGCGATTCTGAAACACCGCCTTCTTCCCGCGGAAAAAGCCAAGAGCCGCGCGCGCGCGGGTGAAGTCTGGCCTCCTGAGCCGGGGCACCCTTCTCCGGGGAGGTCGGACCGGCTGCCCCGACCCCAGCGCTGCCCAGCTCACAGGCGGCGGAAGCTGTGAGGAAGTCCGCCCAAGTTCTCGGCGCCAGCGGAGGGGCAGGGGGCCAGGATGTCACTCGGCGGTCACTCTCGCCTTAGAGAAGGCACCCCCTTCCGGAGAACGCTGGGTGAGGAGAGCGGGGACGGCGGGCGGCGGCAAGAGGGAGCCCCAGAGAGAGGAAACGCGCGGGAGGGCGAGCGAGCGGGAGTCCCGTCCCCCTTCCTTGCCAAACAAGACTCGGGCGTCACCATTTCTCCCTGCCTACCCAAAGGGCACTCGGGGATGAAATGATAACTCTCCCTCCCTGACAAGGTCCCGCGGGCAGCCCAAGTCGCAGGGCCCCGGAGCCCCGAGGCCACCGACACCTCCCGGCGCTGCCCCGCCCCGCGGGGTCCTGGGGACGGCCGCCACTCACCGAACCGGAGCAACAGGAAGCCCGCGCTGAGGAACCCGACGGCCCACCCTGGGGCTCTCCCCGCAGCCATGACGCGTCGGCCGGCCTCTGCGCCAGAGGCCCGGCGCGCAGCAGCCCCGGCAAAGCAACCGCTCGGTGCCGAAGAACCGGGCGCGCCCCGCCTCGCAGCGCGTCCCGCCCAGCCTCGCCCGGGCCAGTCCCGTTATCGCCTCGGCGCACGTCCTTCCTCCCGCGGGAGGCGGGTCCCGCCGCCCCGCCCCGCCCCGCCCGCCGCGCCAGGCCCGCCCCCTCGCGTCCTTGCCCTTCCCGGTTACGCCCTCCGCGTCCCGGGCCCTCGCCTCCCGTCTTTCCGCAGTTCCCGCGCTGGGGAGCTCTCCTGTAAGAGTGACTAGCGTTTTAAAAAGCAGGTTTATCTTCGTTCCCCCCTCACCTACACCATTTTTCCTTGGCATTTGGAATGTGATGGAAGCAACTCCGTAGCTGGGGTGTGGGGAAGTGGGGGTGGAGGGCTGTCGCTGCCCGAAAGCTGCGCCCCCTCGGCTGGCCCCAGAGGTGACAGAATTGCTGAGACGGGAAGGCTCGGAAGGACTTTATTCCCACAGCGCTTTCTAGCAGCAGCTGCCGCCGCGTGGAGCTTGCGTTTCCTGCTGGCTACTCAGCTGTTGGGACCCTGGACAACACAGCCTCTTTTGAGCAACACTTTCCTCAAACACTGAAACAAAAGGAAACGCGACATTTTAGACAAATGCTAGGATGTGTGGGATTGGCTGGCGCAGCGCACTCCTGCCCACCAAGCGCCGCTGTCTGTTCTCATTCAGGGGCGTATCACTTTTTCCTCAATCCTCACCGCTATCCCCAACTTCCTTGCCCGGGAACTGAGATTTCCAGCCTGTGCTTTCTCCCAGCTCAGTTTCTTTTCTGGTACCCTCTTGCTCCGTCTTAACTGTGGACTTTCCCTCAGATTGAGGCGTCATTAACTCCCTCACTGGCCGCCCAAATAAATCTGTGTCTTGCCAATGGGTTTCAGCCCCTGGCAAGTTCACTATGGATTCAATGTGACCGAAGAAAATGACAGTAAAACGTTCTTGGGGTGAAAGGGTTATATATTTTTCCATATTTTTCCACGGTGGCAGGTCAGTCACTAAAATCCTGTTCACTCAGAGTGAGTCTGCATGCAGCAAGCCAGTCTCTGCCTCTGGGCCCCTCTGCCTGCACAGTCGTCCCACACAGCTGTCCTTTGGGCCTTTGGGCCTCTGTCCCCGGTGCTGCCACCACTCTAGCCTCTGCTCTGCTCTCCTGCAGCCCTGCAGCCATGCCACCATGTCACCAAGAGCACTGGGCAGAGTTCCTTATATTGAGTCAATAGCAATGTATTGCCCACATGTGTGCAGTGAGCAAGCCAACCAGGGCCAGGTGAGAATCCTGGCCACAGGTACCCTCATTTTATCCACAATCTGTCACCTAAGCTGCAGCAGGACTTGGAACTCCCCATCTTAGTGTTTGGTTTCCTTGATTGACTTGCCCTCTCCTCAAGTCCATCTGATCCCAAACCAAATTACTGTACTCTCAGAACCAGCAATTCACAGCAGCCTCGTCTGCCCCCTTTCTTTCAGAGAGAAGCACCAGAATTGCCCCTGCCCAGCTGAGGGAGTTGAGGGAACTTAGTTACCATGAGCAGAAACCTTCCTCCATGAGCAGAACCCCAGCTCCATCCACGTTGTTGCAAATGGTAGGATTTGTTTTCTTCTTATGGCTGAATAGTATTCCATTGTGTATATGTACCACATCTTCTTTATCCATTCATCTACTGATGTACACTTAGGCTGCTTCCATTTCTTGGCTATTGTAAATAGTGCTGTGATAAACAGAGGGGTGCATATGTCTTTTTGAATCTGAGATCTTGTTTCCTTTGGGTAAATTCCTAGGAGTGGAATTCCTGGGTCAAATGGTATTTCTATTTTTAGTTTTATGAGGGACCTCCATATTGATTTCCACAATGGTTGAACTAATTTATATTCCCACCAGCAGTGTAGGAGAGTCCCTCGTTCTCCACATCCTCACCAGCATTTGTTGTTCCTAGTCTTTTTGATGTTGGCCATCCTAGCTGGTGTGAGGTGATATTTCATTGTGGTTTTGATTTGCATTTCCCTGATGATTAGTGATGTGGAGCATCTTTTCATGTGCCTGTTGGCCATCTGAATTTCTTCTTTGGAGAATTGTTCATATCCTCCACTCATTTTTTAATAGGGTTATTTGCTTTTTGGATGTTAAGGAGTGTGAGTTCTTTATATATTTTGGATGTTAGCCCCTTGTCGGATAGGTCATTTACAAATATATTCTCACATACTGTAGGGTACCTTTTTGTCCTACTGATCATGTCCTTTGCTGTACAGAAGACTTAGTTTGATGTAGTCCCATTTGTTCATTTTTGCTTTTGTTTCCTTTGCCTGAGGACATACATTCAGGAAAAAGTTGCTCAAATTTATATTCAAGAGATTTTTGCGTTTTCTTCTAAGAGTTTTATGGTTTCATGACTTATATTCAGGTCTTTGATCCATTTTGAGTTTACTTTTGTGTATGGGGTTAGACAATAATCCAGTTTCATTCTCTTACATGTAGCTGTCCAATTTTGCTAACACCAGTTTCCCATTGTATATCCATGGCTCCTTTATCATATATTAATTGACCATATATGCTTGGGTTTATATCTGGGCTCTCTTTTCTGTTCCACTGATCTATGGGTATGTTCTTGTGCCAGTACTGCTGACTGACAAGCCAGGCCCTGTGTTAAGCACACTACGTAGACTAATTTAATTATTGCTGTACCTATTTTTACATGAGGAAACTGCGGCTCAGAGAAGGTAAATGACTTGCCCAGGGACAGTAAGGGACAGAACTGGGAATACAGCTAAGGCCAAGTCTGAAGTGCCACTCTTACCCTTTCATACAGGAGCAGAATGCAACTTCTGGATGGACAGCCATGCTGCTGTTTGGACTGGCCAGCAGGAAGTGACAACCCACACAAGAGCAGGGCTGAGGAAAGGACTGCCCAGTCATCTGGGGCTGGGAAGTATCTCCCAGGATGTTATCTCCAGGCATCGGTTGAGGAATGATTCATTAAGTCTTCCTTCGCTGGAGCTTGTGACCAATGAGCACTGTCTGTTTGTTCATTTAGAGAAATGTTGCACTTCCACCAAGCATTATTTTTAGCACTTATGCGAGGTCTAGCAGAGCTCATGAATCAAAAGTGGCTCAGAAAGGCTGAGCCTTCAACGTGTTAGGCAGTCGGCCAGAATGGCCCATTCATATACTGACTTGCCACCAAAATGAGGTCTGTATTTTTCATCCTGTGAACAGGGTCAAGGGGTTGTTTTATTTGCTTGCCACTGTAGATAATCGTGGACCAGAAGGTAGGAAAGGAGGGCTCATTCAGTCTGCTCATGTGGCATGGGGCTGCTGCTCTGCCTGGCATATCACTCTGGTACTCTGGCTCTAGTTCCTGCCAACTTTGAAAGTACCCACAGGAAGCTTAGGAATCCCAGAATCTAGTGAACAGAACACTCCTTCTAAGCCTGCATACATGAAAACTGTCCCTGCCTGTAGAGGGAGTGTACAGTCACTTCATTTATATAAACACTGGGCAGACTGGCACCCAAAGTGTAGAAGGGTGATCTTACTCCATAATACTCTTATTTCCCTTTTTAAAAATGTTCCCTGGCAGAGAGAGTATTTGGAAAAAAATTAGACAAAAATAAATAGGGCTTAAACATTCTAGTTACCCATGGGATAAACGATTTACATTTCAACTACTGGCCAAGCCAGCAGCTGCAAGAAGTTGATAAGGATGCAGTAAATGGGGCTGCAGAGCAGAGGAAAACACATATTAAAGCCTTTGAAAGGTTGGATTTTAACAAGTAGAGTAAGAGAAGAAAGTACCTCCCTCTGCTTTTTACCCTCTATCTAGCTCTTTTTGCATATTCTTTTGTGATTTTTACAGGATTACAGACAGGTTCTGACGAATCATATGGCCCGGCTATGGTTTTAATCTTTCTGTCATTCTTCTCACTTTCCAGACATGGTGAACTCCTCCAAAACATCCCAGCATTGGAACTGTGCAGACAACAGAGACCTAAGTGCTGTGTGGCCTCACTGAACAGGAACGCACAGCTAATCCTGGAAAGTGCTTGCTGAATATTTCAGTCAGGGTAACATTACGGAGTTGGAGAAAGATGGTGGGGCCTTGCTGCAGAGGCCTTTGATGGCCAAGACCATCTGCTCTCTTTCTCCATTAGTTTCCTCTCACTCCATTATGACTACCTAGTACCTCCCCCAAAAAAGAAAGGAAGAAGTTATAAGCTCTACATTCTGAACTTGCCTATCCAGGTGTGTTGTGTGCACAAATTTATGGGCAGCATAACCGTGAGAGTCAGAGTGGATGTGTATATTTATTATGACACATTTTCAGCAGACAGCAGTAAGGTGTCTTGAGAAAGACGTATTTTTATCATTTGTACAAGGACACCATTTGGCCTGGGAGGTGGGGTGCGATAATAAAGGCTGCAATTCATGAACCCTGAGACAAGCAGGCCAATGCCACAGGCAGAACTCCAGGCCTGCAGGGCACAGTTCCACAGAGGAGAGGGGCATCTGATTAAGTGAGGAGAAAGAAGGACAACACAACTCCAGGAAATGTAAACAGCCATATTTTCAACATAATTTACTACAGGTCTCTGAAGTGTATATAAAACATTTTAGTGCAACATTTTACAAATAGTTTTCCTTTAAAAAAAAACAACAAATAAAAACAAATCAACAGCTCTCTACATCATGCATTGGTGGTTTTCTTCTCCCACCTATTTTTCTTCAAGAATTAACGCAGAGAAACCATTGTTCGAAAAGAATATGAAAACTTGCTACAGAAACACCCTGGTGAAAGAGGGTGTGGTCACATCCATTTCCTGGAATGGGCCTTGCACAGTGTAGTTTTTTCACTAATGCAGTATCAGGTATGTAGCTAAGTGAGAGTAGTTGGCAGTTTTCCTCTCCGGGTCTCAGCCAACTCAAGCTCTGGTAGGCATTGTGCAATGAGGTCTCCCAGCCACTGGGGGGCACCATTACCATTCGTCTGACACCGCATTTCCTTAGAAATGGCCAAAGGTCTAGGGATTTTCACAGAAAGCTGAAAAGCTCACACCTTTAAAGGTATCCCCAAGTCCAATAGAAATACACAGAAAAAAGAATTATTCAAATACTGGCTTCGGTTTTTTTCCTTTTACATCTCCTCCAACTGCTTCACATATTTAATTACGTGCAGCACGTACTTTTCACAGCTGTGAGCCAATTCAAACTCAAATCTTAGTTTCACACCCCAGTCCCAGCCAGCCTGCTGGCATCTTTCCATTCAAAGGAAAAGTCAGTCATCTCCCCTCACTCACTCAGTCTATAAATGAGGGGTCAGCAATTTCCCACTGAAAGCCCACACCCCTGAAATAAAGAAATGGAGCAAAAGACTGCCTTCTTCCCACGCCACTGAACTGAATGATTCTGTACCTTAAAGCGCTGACACAGCATAATATGACAATGAGCATATTAGGCACCAGCAGGATTAAGTGGCGGTGCCTACACCCCATCTCATCAGAGTGTACTGGTGTGTCTGGAGGAAAAGGCAGGTCTACTAAGCCTGTCGGAAAACAGCTGAGCAGTCACCTTGCTTCTCCTCCGCCATGGCCCAGCACTGCGTTTGCCAAGCACCCAAGCCACCTGCACAGCCCCAGACCCTGATGAGGGTCAGTGCCCACAGGCCCGGGGAATCCCACAGCTTCCCCTGCAGTCTGTTCAGTCTCAGAACAGGGTTTCACAGCAGTCTCTCTGGTTAGATTTTAGTTCTAGAATCTGTGGTGTTTTCCAAATGGGGAACTCCCTTGGGATGCAAGATGCAAGTTTGTAGGGAAAAGGTGATGGCACTTTTGGCTAGCAAAACATGGGAAAGCAGGGCATAGGAACATCTTCAGGGAGTGGTCAAAAGGAAGCCCTTGCAGTCAGTGATGCTCCAGGGGAGCCAAGCATTTTGCCCAATAGTGTAACATGACAGAGTGACATTGGCCCTTGTAGGTTTTAAGGGGCAAATAAAAAGCTGTCATAACAGTGAACAACCAAATTACCTAAAACCACAAATGAGAGCTAAGAAATAGAAGGGTAAAAAACCTACACCAGCATGTGATCACTTTCTGCTGAGACTCAGTAATACAAAAGGATTATGAAGGCTGTGTCTGGACCTCCTCTGGGCAGATATTCTTCTGGCAGTGAGATGCAGGGAGAGAAAAATGGTGAATAATAAAAACATCAGTATCTTTGAGGAAAATCTAATTGGAAGGAAGAAGAAAAACCTAGTCTTCATACCTCCTGGGAGGCAGTTATTTCTCCCCACTCTTCAAAGTCAGGCTCTGGAAATCCCCCTCCCACCTCTGACTGTCCCAACTCATCAAGGAATTTAGCTGTCAGCTGGCCCCAGTGCCCTCCCACGGTATATATGATGGCTGCTCGGGCCCCAGGAGTCCAGCTCGGTGCTGTCCCCTTTCCAGGCTCAATGGCCACTGTCCCTTAGAATCTGACAAAGCACCTTAAAAATAAAAGCCTGCTTGCTCACAGTTACCAGTTGCAGAACAGATCAAGCCAACAGCTAGCCTCAACAGCTAGCCTTTTTCCCTTCCTTTACTAATCATTGGCTTTGATCAATCTGAAAGTCAGTGGCTGTTAAAAGCAGCCCTCTGCTCACTTTAGCTTGCAAAGTGTATGCATTCTGGAGCTTTTGACTTGTTCTCCAAAGTTTTCTTATTTTTTGGCAAGGCTAGGATAAAGCCTATTTTTGCTTCCCTGATAGACAGGCTGGTTGGGCACCATCCACTCCTAATGGGGTATATGCAGGGTTTCTCTTGTACATACACAGTTCTTTGAAGCAATTTTCAATGCTTTCATCTTGACTACAAAGTGGTTCCAACAACTCCAGCTGTGGGAAAAGATAAGATACAAAACGGGCCCACACTGCACATAATTTTCAAGTCTTATTAACAAAGTAAAAAAATGTTTGGGTATATTTTGATCCATGGGTATCATTTTCAAGTGTGCAAAACAAAAAGTCTTGGAAGAGATTCCTTTGTATTATATAAAGCATGTCCTTCCTTTTGTTATCAGTTACATGTATGAGAAATTCGTCCATAACATTATGGAATCCAGAAAGTGTAAACCAAAGGGATTTAAAAAAGAGTCCATTACAAAGAATAAGAACCCCTGTAACATCTATTTGCGAATACTATATAAACCAGTGAGTAGATGTGGCCACCTGGTGCTACTCACTACATTACCAAAAGCAAAAACAAGAAATCTAATTCCTTAGGATAAAGACATCTGCTTGGAAACAGCTAAGCAACCACGACTGCCACCTAGAGGCAGTCTGTCTCTGATTGATCTGGGGACTCTGAGCACCTCACTCAAGTCTATCAATTTTCTGTAAGAGCACTCCACCGTTAAGGTGCCATCCGCTGTCTGATCACAGAGTAAGAGGCAGCAAGGAGCATCTCAGCTCCTCCATGGCCGACATCCCCTTGGGCCCCCTTAGTCTATGGCTCCTGGGTGGATACTGAGCACAGGGGGCTCCAGGCAAGTGGGGGAATAGTTGAGGTGTGGTTCCTTGATCCACAGCAGAGGTACCCCATTCTTCCCGTCGGAGTTCTTGCTGGAGTTCCGGCTCTTGAAGCGCACCAGCAGGATGGTGATGATGAGGATGCCGAAGATGGGGAAAGGGTAGAAGAAGATGAAGTAGAAGAGTGCATCGTTGGAGCAGATGACAGACTGCAGGGTGGAACCTGAAAGGACCGCAAGGGAGACAAGACAGTGAGGGCTGAGGACCTGGCCGTGTTCCCGAAGCCCTCACCCAGCCCAGTGGAAGTGGCCTGACGACTCCCGCACCCACCCTGTCTCTCCCCCACTGCCGCTCATGGTGGGGATAGTGGCCTTGTAATGTTGCTTTCACAACAGCGCCTCCTCCAATTCACAGTTGTAAGTTCAAAGCGATGCTTCCACTTTCCCACCTTAGGCCAGTACTGCTGCTCGGAGAGCCATATAATAAACGGTAGTTTGTTGATTGTGAACTGTACCCAGATGGCGAAGAAGCCGACTCCACTTCACGCCAAACCTCCTGCCCTAGTTACACTTTACATGTCCCTTTGCACTTAGTTGTGCTCCAAACTTCCTCTGGGATGTAACATGTTATCTCCCCACTAGCTCCTGAGAGCAGTTTTACCAGGAACGATGCTTACATGATTAACGAATGCTATTATGGACCATTTACAAATGTTTACAGCATATCTGTGTCTGCGGAACAGTCTTAATTATTCCTGGATACGGAGGAGCATGTGACATGGAACCCCCAGATCCAGCCAAGAACTGTTCTATGACTCATGAGACCTCGGCAGGAGCCTAGCCTCTGCAAGCCTGCATTTTCTCTGTAAAATAAGGCTGCTGTAGGATCTCTATGTCCATAAAGCTTAATAGATTTGGGCATCCTCTGTGGGCTCAGATAAAATGTTCCCTGTACTTTCATACAGTGGGGTATTCAGTAGATTGTTAGGGGAGTTAAGTATGAATCAGGTTTTTTCTGCTTTCCTTTCTACTGCATAGCTGTCACTCATCAGTATTATTAAGAAAATGTACACTTACACTTACTAGTTTTTCAAAGTATATGAACTTGCTGATAGCCACTTCTCACCTGTTAAAACTTCAATTTCATAAGGATTTTTTGAATAAACAGGAAGTAATTAAAAGAAACAGCTGATAAAACTAAAAAACTCATCAAACTTAATGTTGTAAAATGTGTTGACTGAAAAGTTGCAATTTCCAGCAAAATTTTTATTTCTGCATTATGGGCCAATCCTACTATATCAGATACCATTTTCAGTCTGATACATTCTCTACATTTTGACAGAAAGCCAACCCAAAAAGTGCCTTGCTAGAACAAATTATTCAGGTCAGCAAGTGTTTCCTCTAGTCTCCACTCAGAGGATGCCTCAGGATGATGAGAACTGAGTTCTGGACCATTCTGTGGCATGGCTGATGGTGAGCAGAGCTGCTGCTAGGCTCTTTCTTGATGCCCTGGAACAGTATTGCCCTTCTAGCTGCTCATGGCAACTAACCATGCAACTTTCACTGAAACCCCCACATCCCCCCTCCGAGAAAAAGAAAGAATGACAGTGATGTACTCGGCTTCCCTTTACTTTTATTTTCTTGTTTTCTGAGTCTTAAACACTTGCTAATTTACTAAGGAGAGACTAGATTTGATATTCTAAAGAGTAACAAAGTAACAGCTAACAATACACTTACCTAATGAAATCTTACTGAACTAGGCTCTGGTGGTTTATCAAGTCTATTATAAAGAGTAGATGGATGTTATATTTTAATTCCTATTCCTGTTTTCTGCATGGGCTACCAAGGGTCAATTATATGAACTGGTATATCAAATCTTAAATGCCCATGACCAGTGAAAAAAATGGTTTATTAACCCATAATCAAGCTCTGGTTTTTAATTTCCAGCCCAGTGGAATCGACAGTGACATCCTTCCCCTGTACACTGGGAAAACTCACTTGAATCCAGAACACGGATGCCGATGGGAGCTGATTCCTCCTCTGTCAGCCGGTACCATTCCTTCTGAGGGCTGAGCAGCCACTCCTCCACGTGGCAGGAGTAGTTACCTGTGTCTTGGGGGCTTGCCTGCAGCACTGTGAGCCGGTAGAGCAAGGGGGAGAGCCTCTGGAAGCGAAGCCTGCCCTCCCAGGGGCCGCCCTCTGGGCCAAAGACAGCGTCTGGGCCCACGCTCAACAGGGGCATCCGCTCTGTTGGGTCCTCTTCCTCCTCCACCTCCCCGTCCTCCTCCTGTTCTTCCAGGTCAGGGCTGCCTCCGTTTCCTCCAGGTTTAGTCCTCAGGGAATACCAGGCCACAGCAAAGCGGGAATCCTGGCTTGAGCGAGACACAATGCTACAGTCCAACTGGAAAGCTGCCTTCTCAGACACCGTGGCATTGGGGACCACTGTGTCCACCTGCAGGGCAGCATCTGTAGGAGACAAAGGACAAAAAATGGAGAAGTGGCTGTTTTAGCTTTTTGCTCGAAACAACCTAAATGTCCATCACTAAATAGAGTAATATAGTAATACACAACAGAATACTTACTGTCCAGCTATTGAAAGAAACAAGGTGGTACTATGTGCAGAGATAATGGAAGGAGATTCAAGAAAAATTGTTAAGAGTACAGAATACTGTATATTCTACATATCATGGCATGCAGAAGAAAATCTGTTTTATTCTGAAATATGTCTGCTTATATTTGCATGGAGTGTCTGTGGAATTCACAAGAAGCTGGTAACATGGGTGCTTATGGGAATCAGGTGAGGGAGGGATGCTAATTTTCACTGTAACCCCTTTTAGTGACTGGCTAGTGCACCCCCACAATTCATGTCCACCTGAACCCTAGAATGTGACCTTATTTGGAAATAGGGTCTTTGCAGATGCAATTAGTTAAACAGGGTCATACTGGATTAGAGTAGACCTAAAATCCAGTGGCTGGTGTCCTCATGAGAAGAGGACTCACACAGGCGCAGAGAGAGGACACGTGAAGACAGAGGCCAAGACTGCTGTGATGCAGCTACAAGCCAGAGAATGCTTGGGGCCACCAGAAGTGTGGAGAGGCAGGGAAGGAGTCTTCCCCAGAATCTTCAGGGGGAGCATGGCTCTCTGACATTTCAGACTCCTAGTTTCCAGAACTGTAAGAGAATACATTCTTGTTTTAAGCTGTGAAGTTTGTGCTAATTTGTTATGCAGCCATGGGAAGCAAATCCACCCTTGCAGCAGGGTCTGAATTTTAAACTGTGCACATATAGATCGTTGCCTGCACCAGTGAATCCAAGCAGGTAAATATTCTCCAATTTTTCAGTCTCTAAGGACTGAAGCCAAAACAACAGACGGCAGACCTGAGAGGAGCCCTTACCCTGTCAGTAGGATGACACCCACAGTGTCTTCCCCACTGAGCTGGGAGACACCGGACAGCCAGAGAGGTACCCAAGCAGGTGAGTCACGTCTCACAGACACCACCAGATTGCTGTACTCTGTTTCTTCTGCCACCCCCTCCCCTCTTTAAAAAAATTTTTTTTTGGCTCACTAGGGTAGGTTCTAAAGAAATAATTCACTCCCTACCTCCTAAAAGGCCTCCCTTCAGCTCTATTTACAAACTGCTCATGAGAGATGCCAGTGTAACATCAACAATAGTAGAGTTACCAAATTGGATTCTACTTGGATGAAGACCGGATAGGAGCATTTTCAAAGTATTGCCCTGGGCTTTCAACAAATTGGCTTTGAGTCACTCGCAGGTGAACACAAGGCTGGAGCTCCCACCGCTGCCAAGCCCCTCCACATGCTCCTGGCCCATCTGGAATCTCCGTGTATAACACTAGGAAGTGGCTGCAGGCACAGAGCCCAGATCTTGTTGGGGCAGATATGCTGGAGGGTAGAGAGTGGCAGCAGGACAGGGAATATGAAGTCAGGTCACAGGTGACCCAAACTCGTTTGCTCATGGGGTTATTTCTCCAGAGAGCACAGCTAACAAGAATACCCAAAGCCAGCAGAGGGGAATACAGCAGAGCGAGGGGCAGTCATGGTGCTTTCTTCCCTCCGGGGTCAAACCTTAGTGTCCTATAGCTCCTGGTGGCTGGCCACTGTGCTGTGATGGACCCAATAGGGCCGGGTGGTCAGAGACCACAAGACCTCCAGTTCCCCGGAGGGCACCCTCCCCACCCACACTCCCTTGCTTTCTTCTCATCTAAATGCCCACAGTGTCTCCCAACCCCTCCAGGTGCCTTGCCTGTATTAATGACTCAATACGAATTTTTCTGAATGAAATTAATTTTACCTTCCCACAACCACCCCCAACATGCCTCTCTGGCAGTTTGGTTCCCTGTGTCTGTCCCCCTCTAGAACAGTCCCAACCACCTCCCTGTTCAGATTCGACACTCTCCTTTTCCAGGTGTAAGCCACGGGAGAGGAGGCTGTCACAGCCCCTCCCCTCTATGTCAGGATGACTGCTCCCATGGCCATTACTCAATGGCTGACTCCCGGTCTGTGTATGATGAATGTGGCTTTCTCTTCCCCGGCTGTGTGAGTCAAACACAACTTCTAATCCACTCAGCTACAGTCTCACTGAGGGCAGCCCTTCATTTCATATATTTCAAACTATGGTCAACCCTATGCAATGCAAGGTGATTCATAGCATAACTCTTAGACTTATATTACTTCAAGTCCTCTATATGTTGAACTTCTACCTTGGAAAAAAATATTTGAGGTATATCCACATAGCAAATGTTATGTAACCAGTAAAAAAAATGCTTTCCATGACATGGGAAAATGCTCATCAAAGGATGTTTGGGGGACAAAAATCACATGGAGCAGTGAGATCTTCACTGTTCAGAGAGGTAGACAGATGGAATATGAAGAGATGTGGGTAGTGAGATTATAGATAACTTTTCTTTTCATAACTATACTTTTCCGTCTCTTCTAACTGTTCTGTTGTTAGTGTGCTATCACCTTATATAAAGGAAGGAAGGAGGTAGGTTAGCTGATTCATGCTACTCATCTGGCTGAACACGAGGCTGACTCAAGGTTCCAGGTTGAAAGGTCACACTGCAAGCTCGCAGTGTGGCAGGAGGAAGACGTCACGGCCACTCCAGTCTGCCCTGACCAGCTGACTGTAAGCATGCAGTGTGGCAGGAGGGAGACATCGTGGCCACTCCAGTCTGCCCTGACCAGCTGTGTGGCATTTCTCTTCCGGCTTCAGTGTCTCATTAGTAAAAGTTAATTGTTGTTGTGACGCCTGAACACGAATTGCCTAGGATGCAGCTGGCACTCCATATGGCTGTCCCCTCCCACTCCACCTGGGGGCCTCGGTGTAGTGATGTGAAAAATGGGTGGAAGTTGGAGGAGGAAGAGGGTGTTCAGCTGCCATAGCTCTACAATTTTACCTTCAGGAAAAGATAAGTGGCAGTTTCCAGGCAAGGCAGTTTCCAGCTAAGGGAAATACTAGTGACTCAAAGTAGAGGTGATTTCCCCTCCAGCTTAGGCAAAAGGCGGAGGAGGGAGATAATGCCCCTGTCCTATAGCAAAGGGCGTGTTCACTCCATGACATGTGTGGCCAGCACAGCTGTGAAGCCCCAGTGTTCCACCGATGAAGCGAGCTGAGCTACTTAGATGTGAAGACATTATGAAAGCCTCCAACAGGACCAACGACAAACAGGAACATTGAGATGCTCAGAAAACAAACAAGACAAAGTGGTCACACTGATGCAGGTCATAGGTTCATTTCTGCTCCGTGTCTGTAGATGGACCACTGACCTGTTGAGCTGATATGGATGAATGAATGATGACGTGATAGTGTAGAGGACACTGGAACCCTGCACGTCTTTGCTTCAATTATGCATTTAGATGTGTAACAATGATTATACCTAGTAATTATGCTCACTTAGGTATTTTAGAAACAACAATAAAGACAAAAGCATAAGGCCACACAGAATAGTCACTAATACCCATAAAATTATTAGATGTGAGAGAGTGATGTCCACAGCTATATCATTTTCTATTTAAAGCATGTGCATCAAACCTTTCCCACTGAAAATCCACAAGCTTAATTTTTTTGAACCACATAGCTACTGTTTCTCAACATTATTGCTTATCTACCACTTGTCTGAATGTGAATGCATTCTTTTAAAAGAAAATATTTCGTGCTCTGCAATAATTGACAAATGTGATTCTGGTTAAGAAATAACCATTTTCCATTTACTAGGGGAAAAAATTTTGAGACAGTTTTGAATGCAAATGCAAAATGTAAATGCTCATACATTTAACTGGAAAAAAAATCTGTTAATAAACTAATTTTATGCGGTGCATAAAATATTACACTGACAGGGAAACACCAAAGGCAGTTAACCCTCACCTGGTCTCATGACTGTAACGGCCGTCTGCCCAGCAGTGTCCTCTGCCCGTTTATACCACTCACCACTGGGGCTCGGAAGCCATTCCTCCACGCGGCAGCTGTAGGTCCCACTGTCCTGCACTGCCACATTCTGGATGAAGAGCCGGTACACACCACGGGAAGGACTCTCTAAATGCAGCCGCTCCTTCAGGTTATTTTTGGCTGCCTGCTCTCCATAGTGGAAGGTGGCCTCGCGGCTCAGGTGGGCCACAGTCTCCCGCTCTGGGTGGTTGGGCTTCCACACAAACCACTCCACCATGAGCTGGGAGGCCATGCTGGTGCGGTTCAGCACCACACACTCCAGCTGCACCTGCCGTGTCTCCAGAACTGATAGGTTCCCCTGCGCCTGGCTGAGCTTTAGGCGGCTATCTAGAAAGGTGAGGAAAGAGAGGTCAACAACAAGAAAACAACATGCAACTCACAGGCACACTCTCCAAGCATAGATGAATGGGTGCCTTCCAAGCACAGGACAGTGCGCACTCCATCCACAGAAACATTCCTCTGGCGTGGATCCCAAAACACATTGAGTTCCCTGATCATGTGTCCAAGTGCCTGATTTCAAGGAGATCAATGCTACACTAACAGCTGTTCCTGATTTATAACCTTCACGGATTCAGATGTTCAGGACTGGATGAGTCCACATCCCAGTGACAGCAGACCATAAGCCTGAGGCTGACTGGAAGGGGTGGCTGGGAAGGGGCATAGTGAGAACCCCTCTCAAAGCAGGAATAGGTTTTTACAGCTGCCCACGTGACAGCTAGGATATGCTGGGCTGTCAGCCACAAAAGAACTGCAGAGGAAACACTTAATTTGTTCACGAGCTGGCCCTGAGAACTGCACTTCTTACCTCCTTGAGTTCCTTCTCAAGGTGGGAACAGAACTGGTCTGACATCAATGAAGAAAAGACTGATATTGATGGAACCAGTGGCTTGAAAACTCAGCCAAGCAGATTGTCCTCCAAAGAAGGAGTGTCCTTAGCAACAGTACACCCTCATGGCATGCACACCGTTTCATATGAGGTCCTAATGAGCCCACCTGGATCAGTGAGATTGGAAGGTACACCCTGAGAGTACAGAAGCACCTCGGCAAGGCTGCCTGGAGAGCTGATGGGGCGGGGGGGGGGGCCCGTGCCCAGTATGTTCTACTTTCTACACTTCAAACCTGTCAGAACATTCTACAACACACGTGATTACTTCTGTAACTAAGAGGTCAAGGAATCAAAAAGTAACAGAAAATATTTTTAAATAACCCATCTTCTCCCTCCCTTCCCCCAAAATATACATATACAGTTGGCACATGAACATGGGCTTAGCTGCATAGGTCCATGTATATCTGAGTTTTTTCAATAAATATATTAGAAAATATTTTGGAGATTTGTGATAATTTGAGAAAATATTTTCTTTTCTCTGGTTTACTTTATTGTAAGAATACAGTATAAAATACATATAACATGTAAAATATGCATTAATCAATTGTTTCAGTTATCAGTAAGGCTTCTGGTCAACAGTAGACTATTAGTAAAGTATTTGGGAAGTCAAAGGTTATATGCAGATTTCTGACTCTGTGGGGGCAGGGGTTGGCACCCCAAACCCCCGCATTGTTCAAATGTGAACCAATCATTTATCTGGCTATCTGTTTACATAATATATATATATATACATACATACATACACACACACACACAGATATAAAGATGTCAACTTTGGTTGTCTCTGGTTTGAAAAATTATTTTCTTCTTTGTGCTTTTTTTTGTATTTTCCAAAAGGTTTATAAGCATATTCTTTCTCATCTGAAAAAAGAAAGCGGGGGTGAGGGAAGAAAAAAAACTAGAAGTAGGAAAAACAAAAAACAAAAAAGAAAAACATAGAAACCAAAACTCTTAACTGAAGGAACATGTTGTCTGAATCAGTGTCCTGTGAATTTTCTGTTTATTGTGTTAACACTCCCCCAAACCAGAGATTTCACTAAATGTGTCTGACAGGGATCCTTACAGCCCTTTTACACTGCCCCAGTTAGCTTGATGTACGTCTGCCGTCTCAGATGGGGAAATCCCCTCGATAAACTTAGAATCCACCAAGAATCTCTTCTTTCAGTACACATGGGCAAAGGGCAAGAATGAACGATGACTCAGAGGAAACTCTCGGGAGGTGGGGGTGGTGATCATGATATCCCAGCGGAGAGAATGATCAGAACTGAACACAGACAGGAAAAACAGAAACCCAGAAGAACATCTGCAGGCCTTATGATGACCTTCAGTTTTTAAAAGCCCCAGGGACTGGCCTGAAGGCAGGACATAGGTCCCTGGAAATATCTACAGGAATCATTTAGACCAGAGCTTCCTTTTTAATGCAGGAGGACTGGCATAAATGCTACTGTGAGGTCAGTGACAATCCCTGGATGGGGCGGTTTTAGAAAGCAGTTAAGGGCACTGACTCCCTGCACTGCTGGAAATCTGACTTTAACTTTTGACTCTCCCAAAACTTAACCACTAATAGCCTAGGTGTTGACCAGAAGCCTTAGTTTAGCATTAACATAAACAGCTGACAGACACACATTTTGTATGGTATATTATTATTGTATATTGTAGTCTTATGGTAAAGTAACCTAGAGAAAAGAAAATGCTTTTTCAGATTGTTGCAAATCTCCAAAAAATTTTCCAAAGTAGTTATTGAAAATAATTCACATATACGTGGACCCAAGCAGCCCAAACCCATGTTGTCAAGGGTCAACTACAATATCCTGAGGAAAAGGAGGGGAATAACCCCACAGCATTCAGCACAGGCCAGGCCATATTTGGATTTCAGTATCTGGATTCATTTGCTTACTAAAGAAATACTTACTGAGGCCGCCTGGGAGACAAGTTAGGGGAGTAAAATGGAATCAGAGTCTCTGTGCTCACTCATGAGCTTCAAGTTTAATGGAGGAGAGAAAGGACAAGGAGATACACATTTGAGTATATAAATAATGAATAATACATAATAACTAATAATAAATTTGTTTCCAGGAGTATAAATATGAATATATAGTTCATAATTCCTTATGTATGAATAGGTAAATAAGCAAAATGCCAGGTGGTGATATGTGTTATATGAAGGGGATTCACAGTGACTAGGGTGCTCTATTTAGTTACAATGAGCTAGGAAGCCTCTCTGAGGAAGACTTGAGGCAAATGAGTATCTATGATTAACATGTTCCAAACCAAGAGAACAACAGTAAGTGCCAGGATGTCTCCTGGGGTGTTCAAGGAAAGCAACTATTCATTCTTCAATCAAGTATCTATTAAGGTGCCATGACAGTGGCTGAAGATACAAAGACATAGTCCTATCCTCAAACTACTTACAGTATAGTGACGAAAAATACAATTTTGCACTATGTGTTTTATAAAGAACACCTGGGGAAGTGAGAGAACTCAGGGAAGGCTTCCTGGAGGAATGCTGAGGGATGTCTTGGGGATGGGATGAAGACGGGAAAGGCAGCAGGACGGGTGTTTCAGACAGGAAGGGAGCACAAGCAAAAGGGTGAAGATGGGACTTGGGGTGGCAACACAGCACCCCAAAGCCGACCAGGAAGGACAGGCAGTGACAACCATTATAGGTCAGGCAGGAAAGGGCAGGAGAGAGAGCTTAAGACCACATTATGTGAGAGGTTCAAAGAACGTGAGCTCTTTAACAAGGAGAAGGGGAGACTGACAGGAACATACAAGAGCTCCCTTCACTTATGTGAAAGGAAATGACCCAAACTTACCTCAGGCTGTTCTAGGGGCAGATCTGAGACCTGAGAGGGAAATTATAGGGAGGGGACTTTTCAACAACTAGGGCTGCCCAGAAGTGGAACTGAGGCCTGCAGAAGTAGTGCGCTCTCCTTCCCTGGAAGCATTCCGGCTGGTGCCAGAATAGGAAATAAATAAGGAGTGTCAGGGTAATGGTAATGAACAGAGTCAGGGGGGGCAGAATAAGGGCTGCTCTCACAGGGTGTGAGCGGGGGCTGAGGGGCATTTGGTTTGCAGACAGGATGGGCTCATCCCTGGGCTGGGAGGAAGGAGAGGCAGATGAGAGAAACCAGAAAATGTCTTCTAGGCTGGAATCCCGTGCGTGGAACTGCCACCAGCTGGAGATCCAGGCGGCAAACTGCAAGCCCAGGAAAAGGTCCAGGAGCTGCCTGGGGTCTGGCTGTGCCACGCTGTACTCAGCACAGCGGCCCCTCAGGCCACTCCCTGGTGAAGGGCAGCCTCCTAACAGCAAGAATCGAGGATGCCTTTCTGAGTTTGCACCCAGCACAAGCACCCTCTATAGGTAAAGTAGGTGGGCCCATAGCACACTAGGCTGGTGTTCTACGGACCTGCAACCACAGCCAGTGAGGACCCACAGAGTCCTGTCAACCCCGTCAGGCTCTGCACTAACCCCATCAGCCCGGAATGGCTGCACCCCCGAGGGTGTCCTTACCTGGCTGCTTCACGGTGACCTCAGTGCGCCCTGAAACCTCCTCTGCCAGCTTGTACCAGGCATAGTTGGGGCTCAGCAGCCACTCCTCCACGTGGCAGTAGTAGCTGCCACTGTCACTGACCTCGGCTCTCTGGACGGTGAGGCTGAACAGGCCCCCAGACACATGCCTCTCAAACTGGAGCCTGGAGCGCAGGCCCTCCTCCTCAGCATAGGTGCCGAACTCAAAGGCCGAGTTGTGGGTGGTTTTGAGGATGAGTTTGCCGTCGGCATCCGAGGACTTGTGGACGTACCAGAGCACAGCAAAGTGCGAGTTCTGGCTGGTCTGAGACTTGACTGAGCAGTTCAACTGGATGGGCCTGTTTTCCACCAGGGTCAAGGTCCGCTTGGATTTGCTCACCTGCAGCTTTGTTACTGCAGAGGCAAGACAGCAGGTCAGCAGAACTAGCACACACAACCCAGAAACACGGCCGCCCCACACCTCGCCTCTGCGCCCCCAGCCTGCTTTTGTCCAGCACAGTTCCCAGAGGGCTGAACACTGATGGGCTTCCTCCAAAGCGTGGCTTGTGTGAGGAGGACAGCATGCAGCCCATGTCACTGCAAACATCCCTCCATCTGTCTCCTTGCCTGGTCCCCGGCTCCTCCCCGCCCCTCCACCCTCACCATCACACAGCCTCTTGGGGATCCAGATGAAATACGGATCTGCCCATGTCATTTCCCCGTTTAAAAAATTTAATGGCTCCCAACTGCTTATAATGTATAATAAAATATAATTTCTTTTCACAGGACAAAGTCTGTCCAGGATCCAACCCTTATCCACTGTCCACACTCATCTCCTCAAGCCCCCAGCCTCCCACCCACACCTAGACCCCTCTGACACTTCCGTCTACTCATCCTTCAGTCCTCCTTTGCCTGTGCCTGCCCCCGAAACTAGGGGCGTCCCTGGGCTTCCCTCAGCACCCCTGCACATCGTCAGACTGGCTTTCCTCACGTCTCTCTTCCAATTGAGAGCTTCCCTACGGGTAGAGATCAAATTCTGTCCATTCAATCTGCAAACATTTAGAATGTGCCCATTGTGTGCCCTCCCTTAGGCTAAGGGCTGGGGATGCCGTGAAGTGTAAGACAGTCCTGCCTAGTGGGTGTTTGCATCACTGCACCCCTCAGAGCCTGGCACAGTGCAGGGGCTTTGGAAAGGGCTCAGTCTGTGTTTGCTGAAGTATGTGAGTGAGTGGGTGAGTGAATGAGAATGTGCTGGAGAAATATGGAAGCAGGAAGTTAGAGGATGCTGGGTGAATCTTCCTGGCAGAGAAAGAGGGAGAAGGCTGAGAAAAAAATGAAGAGCAGTGGGACAGAACAGAGCCTGTTCCAGCCTCCCCTGCCCTTTGTTATCCTGCTCCAAAACCAGAAGGGAGGGTGGACAGACCGCAGAGTGCCACCCCACCTGCTAACTCATGCTATGCTCACTTTAAGGTGGTGAGAGGCCAAGGTCTAATGAAGTGTATCTCAGGAAGGTCATTTGGGGTCGCACCCACTCCTTCATTATTACATTTGCTGCCTCCCCCTACCTACCTCTGTCCCCCTACTAAAATGGAAAAAGACAAAATTCTAAGTTCCTCTTAGGAAGCTAATAGTAAAAGCATCATCCCACCTCCACCCCTCCCTTCACACTTCATTTTTAGGAGACCAGACCACTCACCAGCCAAGAAAGAAACCCAGGCCAAGGCACTGACCCCAGGTAGGGAGGGTGAGCTGGGCTTCCTCTGATGGTCTGCCTGGAAGGGAGGCCAGGGTGGGTTTGCCTGGGCCATCTCCAGCACCCCTGCCGGTTAGTCTCCTTTCACCCAGGCACGGATCTCAGCCCAGTGGTCATGTCTGGGCTCCTTCTACCAGGGCTGGCCAGCTGGCTCACTTAGAGCTCCATGTGGAGAGGCAGCATCAAATTCTGAGTCTCCTGAGCCAAGGCAACTCAAACTTCTGAAAGCCTGAGTTAATCAGCTGGACACCCGGTAATGCACAAACATGCTGACCAGCTGACAGGATCCATTACCCAGGGCCACACTGCAAAAGCAGCTGAGGACACGTCTCATGGCAAATTGGGTGATGCTCTTCCCTGAGGACTGCCGAATTCAATACCGATGGAAGTCAAGCCATCAAGGCACACTAAGCAATGATTTGGGAGAAATCCTATGTCCCCTGCCCCACCCTTCTGGTTTCAGCTGTTCTGTGAACAAGCCCAGTCTCCTGCTTTCTCCTTTCTTCAAACCACAAAGTTCTCCAGGGCACATGGCAATTACCAGTAAACTCCCAAGCTCTGGAAACTAGATTCACATCAGCTTGCCAGTCGACTTTTCAGATTGGATTCGTATAATGCTTGACAACCAGCTTCCTTTCCATTCTTTTCCCACCCAATTCACTGCATGCAAATAGTATCTATATCGGTACAAATGACACCACCTGAATTATCTGGTTCTTGGCCAAAAAAAACTGGGTTGTTCAGTGTAGAGTAGAAAGAGCTTTAAAATGTATTATTAATTGGGGCCAGATTATTTTTGCAACTGTTACTAGGGAAACCTCAATTGCTATAGTAACTGCATATGTTAAACTGGAATCCTATGACTAAACTTCAATTCAGTCACATGGTTGGAGAACAAGAATCCAAGGAAGAGAAATGTTTCAAAGCATTTCTAGTTTTTTTTTCTTCCCATGTCAAAATATTGTGAAGTGTTGAAAAGCTTGAAAGTGGCATTTTTGAAATCTGCTGCATGTCTGACAGGTGGGCAAGGGGTCAGCTCTTATTCTGTGTTCTGAATTTCCTCCCACATTCAAGGGCAGGGAGGCCCTTTCCGGAAGCCCAGGAGACACTGCAGCCTCCATGTCTAATTAGGAAGCACTCCCACAGCCTGCCCAGCACCGCCCTGAGCGGTGTGCAGCCTGCCTGCATCACCTTCCTCCATAGTTAGGAGAGCCCAGCCCACTAAGGACTGTAGGTATTTTTATCTGCAAGATGAGAACAATCAGAGTATCTCCTTCATAGGAATGTTTTGCAAATTAAAAGCAACAGTCTGTAGAAAGAGTTTAGCACAGCACCTGGTATATAATAAACACACAATACATTTTTGCCTTTCTCATTTCTTTTTGGTTTCTGGGCTCAGTCCCATGCTCAGAGTTCAACAATCGATGGAGAACCGTCACACACCAGTGGAAAACTTGCTACCAGAAGTGCTTTCCGTGGACCAGCAGCATTGGCATTGCCTGGGAGCCCGTTAGACCTGCAACTCTCAGGCCCCACCCAGACCTCCTGCATCAGAACCTGCCTTTTCACAAGACCCCCTGGTATTCACATGCACCTTAAAGCTGGAGAAACCTTGGACTCTGTGGTGTGAGGGAATGGGCTTAGAGAGGCAATAAAAGGCAGAGGTGAAATAAAAGCCGATGAGGACCAAGGCCTGCTTAATCCCCACCTGTGAGTCAGCAGGAGGAAGTGGCAGGAGGCAGGTCAGAGGTGCTGCAGGTGAGCCCCACCTGCAAGTTCAGAGTCCGGCTCACCCCAGCAGCTGCCTTCTCAGGAACCTGGTGCTCCCAGAGCTGGCGGAACCCTGTTTGAAGGAAGGGCCCTTTATTTCTGCATCTGGAGAGTTTCCATCCTAGGCTTCTCTGATCAAAATGTGGAGACCTGTGTATTTTTGCATCAAGGGAGAGGCCAGTGTTACAGCAAGGACAGGGCGGCGTGAAGGCGAGGGGCAGGGGGAGGACGGAGGGCCTGGGCAGCAGAGAAGAGAAGCTGCTCCATCAGCCGACCTACCTGGCCTGCAGACCCTGCTTTGTGCACGTGCTTCTCACTCAAAACATCGGTAAAGAGTTTCCTTACAGCCCGCTGGAGTTGTTACATGCCGCCTTGTGTGGAAGTTAATTCTTTACAGGTCTTCTCTTTCCCACTAAATTATAAGCATCTGAAGAGAGGGTACTATGACCCATTCATGTACTAAACAAATCAATAAATGGATGATCAAATAAATATGTGATTAATCTTTCTTGAAAGTATGGGAACATAAAGGAAAGTCATTTAATCTTGAGTGTGACAGGAGGGAAAGAACATTTCAAGAATATGTGACATCTGAGCTTGGCCCTGAGAAACAAATGGGGTGCTCCTCAGGCAGCGGGTACTGAAGGACACCCTGGTGAGGGGACAAGTGGGCAAAGGTGAGATCTTCCCTGTGCACCATATTCAGGGAAGAGCAAGTGGTCAAGTGTGGTAGATATAGAAAGGTAAACTTGTCAGACAGCAAGGGCCTGGGATGTGCCCTAACCCTGACCACATCCAGCTAAGAGTATGACCCGTGGCCTGTAGCCTCAGTACCACAGGGGGCTTTTTGAGACCACTGAAGCACAAATGTCACGGGAGGGGTCCAGTGATCTGTGGTTCTGTGAGCCCTCCAGGTGACTCTGGTGCACACTAAGTTTGAGAAGCCCCAGGTGCGGCAGTGAGGGGGCCGCAGGTGACTCTGGGGACAACAGTTTCTGTGCAGTGGTGCGAGGAGATGCCAGAAGGTGGCAGGTGAGGAGGTATGGGCAGTGAGGGAGTAGAGGGCAAGAAGAAAGACACTGCTCTTTCCTAAAGATACCTGACAGTAGTTATCAATGTCAGGAATGGAGGAGGCCAGTGGCTGGATGGCAGAGATTTTTCAAAATGAGGGAAGCAAGTCAGCTAAGAGACTGGGAGAGAATGAAGAGTGCCACCAGGGAAGAGAGAGAGAGAGAAAGAGAGAGAGAGAGAGAGAGAGTATGTGTGTGTGTGTGTGTGTGTCTCCCATGGTTCTCAGGGAAGGAGACAGCAAGGTCACCTGCCAATCAGGCAGTCACCATGCCTCTAACACTGCCCTCTGCTCTTCTCTCCCTGTGATCATGCCCTAATATGGGCCCTGAACGTTCTCTTTCTCAGACTTTATGTGTGCGCCCTGCTTACGAGTTTTACTGGCTCCAGCCTGCAGCTCCCCATGACAGCAGTTCCCAGCAGGGCAGCAAGGTCCCCAGTGACATCATGGAGCTCTGTGGGCACGTCTTTCCTGGTCCCATTGCTTAGAGGGAAAGGGAAGGTGTTTAATGAACTGGAGCAAGAGACAGATGTCGACCCTTATCTGGGATGACTCCATGTAACAAATCTCTGCTTCAGGTCCTGCATGACTTTCAAATGACATCCATATGAGTGAAAACTCCATCTCTGAGACTAGAACCTACTTTAATTTTACTGTCAACACAACATATATATATTGCATCATTTTAATATATCCAGGTAAATCAAGGGAGAATTTTCCTTTGCTTTTTTTAACATGGTTGCAAGAGTTGCTCAGAATTTCAGATGGTAGTGCTGCCTGAATGATGGGTCGGCAGTCAGTGTCCGTAGGGGTAGGCAGCAG